TGGACTCACCTGGTATGCAGAGCATAACCGGGGATTGTGCTGCTGAATTTCAGGGCTGATGACAGAGTTGTAGTGGGAAGAAATTAGTCAAACCGATGCTGTCATCTTCGATTTGGGTGTCAGTGGTGTTTTGGACATTTTGATAAGACTACAACTATTCCAAGGTGTCTGGTTCATCTGAGTAGAAGTTCTGGTCATCAGTCCTTAGAGAACTCGGTTTTGAGTTTTCTCTCATCAGTTTCACAGTTGAACTAGTTAATGCCAAGAAACAAAGAGGAATTGTCTTTTGTTTCAGTGATCCTGGAGGGGATCACTCCCTGCACTCAGGGACCCTGAAGGAAATGCACACACCCTCCCTCTCCCACTGCATGTCTGTGGCAGCATCAGTCACCTGTGAGACACGGAGCTCTCCAGTAGTGTTTCTTTCCTATTACTTAGGGTCGTGAATTCTGGAGGTTGGGGAGAATACATTCACATTTGCCACCCTGAAGGTATCACATTCACAGCCTAGGAACAGCCACTATGCTCCTGAAGTTGGGGTATCTTTTGCATTCAATCTGCATATGCAGATTCTCTACTACTGACTTCCCTTTTGTGCCTTTTCAGCACCCACCTCATGCATAATTAACAAAGCAGCTGGCTTTTGCCTTTATGGCAGAAAACTCGCTGGAAACTGGGCGGAGTGTGCGTTTGTTTCCTTCTCCATGTTCTGACCCAGTCCTTGAATAACCAGCATTTGATTATTGTCAGTTTCCAGAATCAGTTACCCCTTGTTTTCCTCTTACTTTTTTCCTCTTTCAGCTAACGATTCAAGTTATAAAAATGGTGGTAATGTAAGTTTGAATTCCAGACTCAAGAACAGAAATTTCAGGAGATGACCACTGTTCCTGTGCTTTAATCATCTCCATCTTCAGGTCTCCCTGAAGAGCAGGAACTCCCATGTGTAGGATTTATGCCTGTGCTCAGAAGGAACGCTTCTCAAAGTCCACCTAACCCAAGCCAGTGATGACAAATCAGCCCCCCCCCCCTCAGTGGGGTCAGGGTGGGCTGGGCGCTTTGCCAGGGGCGCTGTCCTTTGGAGAATTGTAACAGGCCCCTCCTTTCTGGCATTCTCTCAGTAGTTGTTGCTGATGGTGTATCAGGGAGGATGATGTGTGTGCCTGGACTCTGTGTGGATGGGTACTCTTGTGGGAGCCAGGGCAGGGTTGGGAGTGAGGATTATACTCACCTTTTAGGCTGGAATTCTGTTCCTTTCTACTTCCTTAATCTTCAGAGTCATTCATAAAATGCCATTATTTCCCAAATGTCCAGTAATGAACAAGGACAAAATGTCCACGTGGAGTATTCTAAAATAGACTTCCCTAGTTCATGCATCTTAAGTAGGTGACAAGAACTAGGAATTGGCACCTACAACGCACTGTACCTAATTGCCTAGAGCTTCATTGCCGCCCCACATCAGTGTCTGCATTCACTACTACTCTGCTGTCTGCTTGCATTGGTCCCACAGCCCCTGTTCCTCCTGCACATCTAGTCCTCACCAGCATACCCCACTTCTTGTCCCTTGGAAAGTCCTGCAGATAGCTACTGCTTCATCTGAAATTCCTGCTTCTCTGAATTATCCAAACATGGGAGGCCATACAAATATGTGAGGACAGCCAACTGTCGCTGTCTCCAGTAGGACAGGAGCCTTGAGGACAAGGAGGTTTAGCAAAAATATGCAGTGCGAAATGCTGCTTGACCAGTTGTCTGGGGACAAAACACTTCCTACCGCTTCTTGGCAGAGTCATTATCCCTGTAAAGCTGTTAGCTAGGCACCAAGTCTCCTGGGACGGTGCTCTCAGTGCTGAGCTCCTAGGATTGGTAGAGAGAAGAAGAGGGAGAGAGGTGAGCAAGGCCGAAGCCCAGGGGCTAATCCGCTTATGCAGAAGAGAGGTACAAAATGAAGAAGCCGGGTTCAGAAAGTGCCGGGTTCAGAAAGTGCCGTCTCCTGGCTTGGTGTGGCTTGTTTTCAGTCTGGTTTTCTTAGACCCTCAGCAAGTGTGGGGTTTGAGGAAAGAAAGGGAGGTAGAGGAGCGGCTCAGATCCCCGGTCCATTGTAGGTGTAGAGCTTTTCTCTCTGAGGACTTCCCTGTGTGGCTCTGTATCCAAAAGGCTGCTGTCAGAACCCTCCAAACAGTGCAGACCATTTGAAATGTTAGATTTTCTTTGAAAAAGTTCCCCATTATTAAAAAGGGGAGTGAACGCAGATTTAAGAGGGGTGAAAGGAGTTGCCCTGGTTATTAGTTCTCATTGATGGGGAAAGGAGTTCACTTTGCTCAGTAAATAGAGCTTTGATGGATTCCCAGGATCCCTTCAGGAGCTCATCTGCTAAAATGACACTTTTTATTACTGTTCATAAACGCCAATCTCCAGGTGCTGCTGGGATATTACGTTTAAGCTGTGGGCAAACTTGCCAGTCCAGTGGCTCAACAAGCGAGGGTGAGGGAGGCTGGGATGTAGTGCCTCCTTGATGAGCTGAGGCAGTGCCCGGCTCTGGCTTGGCTGACAGAAAGCAGGTTGGAAGCAAAGAGAGCAGGGATGGAGACGGGGAACACTTTTCAGGACAATCCCCCCTTCCCTGTTGGCGTGAGAAGCGGGCAGACACTTGATTCTCATTGTTACTTCAAGATATTCAAGGGGAAACCTGGGATAGGCAGTCTTTACCCAGAGGAAGGCCTGGTTAAAGGTGCACCAGTGTTCCACCCATCTGGGAACTGAGTCTGGCTTTTCTCTGGTGAGAGCTGGGATCTCTTCATCTTAACTTTAGGATGGGATAGAAAGTTCCCTGCTAGAAAGTTTGATGAACTTCTCTCAACTGTTGGCAGTCCTCAAGAGGTGAACCATTTCATAGACCATTTTAGATATTTAGTAATTTCCTTTCTCCTTTGAAAAATTATTTTCATTTCTTTTTTGTGCATTCTTTGAAAGAGTAACAAGCACTGAATTGCTCAGTCCTAGATCCTTTTTTTTTCTTTTTCTGAGACAGAGGCTCACTCTTTTGCTCTGGGTAGAGTGCTGTGGCATCATAGCTCACAGAAACCACAAACTCTTGGGCTCAAGCAGTCCTCCTTCCTCAACCTCCGAGTAGCTGGGACTACTGGTGTCCACCGCAATGCCCGGCTGTTTTTAGAGATGAGGTCTTGCTCTGGCTCAGGCTGGTCTCGAACCTTTGAACTAAGGCAGTCCACCAGCCTCGGCCTCCTAGAGTGCTAGGATTACAGGCGTGAGCCACCACGCTCAGTCTGTCCTGGATACTTTGAGAATGAACTTTGTTTTAAAGTCCGTGAATACACATAAGACTGGTGTCAGCGATTGCCTCAGAAAACTGGAGGTGGGCTTATAGTAGGGGACATTCATCACAAATGTGCGGTCACACTACAGCCATTTGAACTCTGAATTTTGTAGCACTTGGATGCATTAACTACTCAAAAATAAGAAAAATTTAATTAGGGAAATATTTTTCTAATATAAATGTCTCATTAACGATGTCCTCATTTTCATAAGAGAATGAGCTGGGGTTTTTATGTTTGTTTTTTGAGACAGAGTCTCAAGTGGTTACCCTGGGTAGAGTGCCATGGCATCGTAGCTCACAGCAACCTCCAATTCAGGCTCAAGTGATCCACTTGCTTCAGTTTTTCTATTTTTAGCAGAGACGAGGGTCTAGCTTTTGCTAAGGCTGGTCTCGAACTCTTGAGCTCAAGCAGTCTACCTGCCTCGGCCTCCTAGAGTGCTAGGATTAGAGGTGTGAGCCACTGCGTCTGATCTCCTGTTTTGATCACTTTCTAGTTTCTTCACTCATTTTCACTTCTATTCATTTACACAAGCAAATATTTATCAAGTGGCTTCTGTGTTCCAGGTGCTATGTGAGGCCCTGAGAGCAAAGCAAAGATGAAAACAAGGCCCTACCCTGTTGCATTGTTACAGCCGTGCAGTAAAATCTGAGATTTTATTGAGTTTATTCAAGTAATCGTTGAAGCCTATATAGTTTTTGGTTTTATTCATTTTATTGTGTTTCTTAGGAGAAGCGTAGATTTAGGCTGTTCGTACATGTCGTAGCCATCCTTGTTCTGCTCTCATTGCCTGGCATGGTAACGCAATGTAGAATGACCTTTGGAACTTGGGGACCCCTGGCCTGACGGCTTTCCTCCCTCATCGCGTCTCTTTCAGCTCTTCAGTCCTTCATCCGAGCCTACGCGACCTACCCCAGGGAGCTGAAGCACATCTTCCACGTTCGGTTCCTCCACCTTGGGCATGTGGCTAAGAGCTTTGGGCTAAGAGATGCCCCCCAAAATCTTAATGTCTCAGCTATAAAGAAGAAGAAAGCGAACCAGAAAAGGTGAGATGAACTGAATCTCTGGATGCATGACTGAAAAGTGAGCACAGAGAGCTCTGTTCAGATCAGCAACAGTGAGATGGTATGGAAAGCCAAAATGCTGAATGTCCACTCTTAGCTCTAGAGTCTGCCCTTTTCCTAATTCAGTAAATGCTAGGAACAAGAGGAAAAATGCCTAACCTTTCAGAAATTCAGTGGTGTCTCCCGTGGGGCCCAAATGTCGTGGGGCTCATAGGAGCAGCAAGAACCTATGGGGTTGGCTCGGCGCCTATAGCTCAACCGGCTAAGGCGCCAGCCACGTACACCTAAGGTGGCGGGTTCAAATCCCCAGCCCGGATC